TTTGTTTTTTTTTGCCTTGGCTCCGTAGACGCGAGGACCATGGTAAGCGAGAACACGCTCGCCTTCCGAGAAGAGTCTGCCGTCGTTAGACGGCGATGCACCACCACTCGCCGTATCTCCGTCACTCGCCGTCTCTTCCTTCGACGAGCTTTCCATTGCCTAGCCACCGAGAGCGAGAGGGAAAAAGATCTCACATCACAAATCGGACCCTTAAAACGTCTAGTTATGAATCTACGACTGAAACTGCTGAGTCCACCAGATTTGAGGCTAATTTTGTAATTACACTACTTTTCAATTGAATCCCTCAACTTTTCACAATTGTTCAATTGAGTCTTTTAACTTTTCTTTTAATACATATATTCGTCGAAAGTACAAATTGTTCTTTGACCACTTCAATTTCAAGTACAATTTTTTTTTGCATTATAAATCTGGAAAATATATAAATCTTTATTCACGTTGTAGTTTGTACATTGATGTTTCTTATTACATTCGAATCGTAAATTAAATATGATCATAATCTTATTGACCAAAAACGAAGTTATTATCCACATTATACATTTATCAAATAAATTTAAATAACTAACAAAACAATAATCCTATATGAGACATCAATTCTTGATTTTTCCCATTCTTATTCCTCTATGCATGTTTTCGACTAAAGAAAAAAGAAAATGAAATAATTGTTTCCATAGACGGGATGCATGGGCACTTTAACCGGCCCGGTTTGAACTAAAGATCGAATAATTAGTGACCGGGACCGCTTGGGCTTGGACCGGACTGCTTATCAACTCGTAGCGTATCACTTCGGTCTACGAATTTATGACCAACGCCTGGACTAGGACCTGAGTCTTTGATCGAACCAAGTGATAAGCCATCGAATAAATCAGCCACGAGCTTCTTCTCTTCGGTCTTGGTTAGACCAAGTGGACGAGCCTCAACAAGAACCGAACCGATCAACATGAAGAACAGAATCGAACCAAGAACACCTTTGTTCATCATTCTATATATGTGAACTCTTTAAATTTTTTAACTCTATGTTTATAAAACAAATGTTTTTTTTTTTGTTCTTATCAGATAATGAAATTTGTTGCGAGTGTTGTTGTGGACTTAGTATATATGATTATATATAGTAGTGTTCAAGAAGATGCAAAGTTTGAATTTTAATTCTTGACTAAGTTTTGAATTCAAAAGAACGTGCTCATTGATATTATAGAGGCTGCTTCCTGGGAAGATTACAACTTGACTGGTTTTATTGAGCGTTCAATTTTGTGTATCAAAGCCATCAATTAGGAAAGGGATAAGAACTTGTATTTTAGAAATAAATGAATTTGAATGTTATCATAAATTTAAAATGGTGGACCAAACATAATGAATGTTTGATTGTTTGGAGCAGACGGCAGCTAAATTTTGAAGTAGATTTGTAGTTGTAGACCAAACATAGTTTGAATTTCAAACTAGGGATAGTATATGAAGTCAAACATACCGGTAACCGGTTCGGTTTTTTGGTTTTAGTAAATATATGAATCATATAAAGTTTGGTTCAATATTTTCAGTTTCAATTCAAGTTTGTTTCTTTGATTTAGTAATGTATATGTTTGGTTTCGTTTCAGCTTAGGAAAAAGTGAAAATCAAACAATCTGAATTAAAATTTGGTTTGGTTTATGGAATAGAGTTTTCCCCGGTTCGGTTAAACCGGCTGATTTGGAAACTAAGGACTTAAGGAGTGACATAAGCTAATTTGAGTTTTTCAATTGGATCTCAGGTACTTGTTGAATTGGTGTTTTATAATGTTGTTAGATCATACACCAAACCTAATAATCAATGCTTCTAAAGTTCAAACACTTTATTGCTATTTTTCTTGCACGACCAAATTAAGTTAGTTCTTCTCACGTGGTTCTTCATTCAAAAACATTGAACAACCACACTTTAGTAAAATTTTCAACATCCAAACTTATGATTTTTGTTAGGTAGAAATCTATCCAACGAAAAGACAAACCATCGATAGTTATGTCAACTCTTGCTGCTATATTGTGTTGAATTAAGAGACCGTAATTTTAAAAAAAAAATTCGAGAAATTTTGGACCGAAATTCATATATATCAAAAACCTATCCCAAAAGAGATTCGAATTAGGGCCTAAATAACACATTTTTCCTCGATAAACCTATGTATCATTACTATATATACTACTATTGACTTGACTACCACCATAATTTGTTATAAAAATTTATAATGTAATTTTCCACCTTAAGTTTCATCAATAATGTTAAAACTGGATTAATTGTGATGAATTTTCTTAATAAAAATATTTAGAAAAATTTATCTAGAATAACCTACTTTTTTTAAAAAATAGCTAGAATAACTTTACCAGTTTTTTTATTGCTGAATTAACCTATTCTGAATTTTTTTTTTTATAATACCAAAATTGTTCTTGGCAGACTGTGCCGAGGTATTGGCAGACTCTGCCGAAACATTGGTAGACTCTACCGAACATTGGTAGACTCTGCCAATGTTCAGCAGAGTCTGCCAATGTTTTGGCAGAGTCTGCGTGTTTCTAGATATTGGCAGAGTCTGCCAATACATCGGTAGAGTCTACCAATGTTTCGGCAGAGTCTGCCAATACCTCGGCAGAGTCTGCCAATGTTTCGGCAGAGTCTGCCAATGTTCGGCAGAGTCTGCCAATGTTTTGGCAGAGTCTGCGTATTTTTAGATATTGGCAGAGTCTGCCAATACATCGGTAGAGTCTGCCAATGTTTCGGCAGAGTCTGCCAATACCTCGGCAGAGTCTGCCAATGTTTCGGCAGAGTCTGCCAATGTTCGGCAGAGTCTGCCAATGTTCGGCAGAGTCTGTCAATGTTTTGACAGAGTCTGCATATTTTTAGATATTGGCAGAATCTGCCAATACATCGGTAGAGTTTGCCAATGTTTCGGTAGAGTCTACCAATGTTTCGGCAGAGTTTACTAATACCACGGCAGAGTTTGCGAATGACAATTTTGGTATTATGAAAAAAAAAATCTAAAATAGGTTATTTCAGCAATAAAAAAAATAGTAAAGTTATTCTAGCTATTTTAAAAAAAAAGTAAGTTATTCTAACTAATCTCTCAAATATTTAATTAGATTTGCTAATAACTTATTGATAGTGATAATTTTTTAATTAAAATAAAGTGGAATATGATCTCTAATTGTTCCTTTATATCCGCAGTTAGAGTAAGACAAAGAAACAAAATTGCATAGCATCAGGAAACCTTTTTCCCATATTTATATAAGGCGAAATCACTATCATTCAAATTATAAAATAAATTTATAAGCAAATTACTTAGAATCCGGTCCACTGTTTCCTCACTTGGAATAATATGGAAAAAAGAAACTATTCAATTTTGGTTTGGCAAAAATAATATAGTTTATTAGTGGCGTAAGACCACACCAGAATATAATAAGAAGAAGAAATGTTAACCATTTTTAGTTCGGACATGGTAGTCCATTAATATTGGAATCAAATTCTATATTAATAATCTCATTACGTAGATTCCAGTCTTTTTCTATTCCGTCCAATTACACGAAATAAATATAATTCTTGAAATAATATATTTGTCAAAAGACTTTCACTTAGCACCTTGATTTACTTAAATCCATTCAAAAAAGCTAATAATAATGGTTTCTAAAAGGTTACTATGCAAATATCTAATCTAACATAAATACTATTTGTTTAGTATATTTACTAGGTTATATATATTTAATTAGGCTAACTACATTAGCACCTAATCCAAACGCATGTATTTGAATCTTACCGCCGTGACGTACGTTGTAAACTGCATACATGTTAAAAAAGATCTATGAGTTTTAAAAGGACAAATTTTATGAGCAAATATTGGGATAGTTACTTGATAAAAATATTTCTTAAAATTAGTATTCCCTTGTATATATAAACTAGAATAGGACCTGCATTAATACGTAGATAATATTATAAAAACTAATGAAATAAATATTTAAATTTTAATTAGTGATCCGTTAAATTTTAAAATATTATTTAACGTGGATACTAAAACCAGTAGAAATCAATTTGTATAATTTCTCATGTTCTAATACATATCATGAAAATCCAAAAATATACAGTATCATAATTTAAATCATATTCTTAGTGACCGAAAAAATATATTTTAACCAATTATGAATATTTATGATTATGTTATAGAAAATAAAATCAACTAAATACTATATTGTTAAATAAGAATGAGTAAATTTTATGTTAGTAAACTCATAAAANTTTTAAATAATGTTGTGAACCATNACATAATTACATGATTGATAATTNTATTTTATTAGTGTCATCGTTTTATTTCTCATAGAGATTTATACTCGCCAAATTTTATACAG